TATTATTATTATTATTATTATTATTATTATTATTATTATTATTATTAATTATTATTATTATTCCCCGTTGGTTCCTGTTTGGTTCTTTTTGCAAATCCAAAGTACCAGCAAGGCTCTCGAGGTTCTTCTGGGTCACTTCGGACTACCTGAAGGACACCACCTTTTCTAAGGCAGGCAACGCCTCTTAATCCTCCTCCTCCTCTTCCTCCCGGCTGGTCACATGAACCCGGATCAGAAGATGATTACTCGCCACTTTTGCCCCGTGACGCCACCCGAGCAAGGTCCTTGCAACCGTGATGGGTCGGTGGGGATCAGGGAGCCGGGCGATGAGATGAGCGTTACTCATTTACAGAGGGATCGGGGGGCCCGGCCACCCTGCGAATGATACCAGCGGCTTTCGCGCAAGGCGCCTGCGCTTTCGAGGGGGGGAAGAGCCGGACCCAGAAGGCGCAGCCACACGCCTCCCACCTCCCCACCTCTTTTTGTCCGCCTTGAAGGGGGAACCGGGCTGCCCCAATCTCTCTCCCCTTCCTCCCCCACACCCCCCGGTCCCTTGCAGAAGAAGCCCTGCCGGCGAGCAAGGGGGTTTCAGAGGCCCGGGCGCTCTGCCTTCCCACGATCCGTGATCCAGCCGCGGCCAAGCAAAGCAGAATCCGCCCCTTTGCGCTCGCTTCCCGGGCCGCAGACGCCGCTTCCAGGTCAACGGCGGCCTTGACGGCGCCGGGCTCTTGCACGGGTCACCCCGGCCCGAGGTAGGGAGCGTGGAAAGCCAAGCGAGGTCCCGGGCAAAGGGGAGGGGGAGGTGGGTGGGGGCGGCGGCGGCGGCGACTGGGGAAACGGAGGCCGGCCTTGCAAGCTGCCGGAAGGGGAAAGAAAAGGAGAAAGGCTTCCCCCAGCCCCCACCCCCGCCAAACCGGCTTAGAATTTGAATCCCAAGGCGCTAGTCCCTTCGCTTTAAGGAGAGACTTCGCCAAGCAGCGCCTTTTGTGTAGTCCTGTCCTTCGGGAGTTGGACTGCAGTTTCCCCTATTCCCTTGTCGTTTGGCCGTGGGAGTTAGGGCTCGGGGCGACACCCCGGGGAAATGATTCCTTCTGGGGGGTTTTCTTTTTCTTTTTCTTCTTAAAAATCTGTTTATCTTGGCTGTTTTGAGAGTTTTCCCCCTTTAGAAATACTCTGTCGACTGTTGATTTGGTGGTTCTGAGACCTGCTACTTATAACAGAAAAGGCCAGAATATTCTGGGGAGAAGAAAAGGAAAGTGAAGGTGGGAGGGAAGGAAGGAAAGAAGGAAGGAGGGAGGGAGGAAAGGAAGGGAGGGAGGAAGGAGGGAAGGAAGAAAGGGAGGAGGGAGGAAGGAGGAAGGAAGGAAGGGAGGAAGGGGGAAGGAAGAAAGGGAGGAGGGAGGGAAGGAAGGGAGGAGGGAAGGAGGGAGGGAAGGAAGGAAGGGAGGAGGAAGGAAGGGAGGGGGGAGGAAGAAAGGGAGGAGGGAGGGAGGGAAGGAAGGGAGGAGGGAAGGAAGGGAGGGAGGAGGGGGGAAGGAAGGAAGGGAGGAGGGGAAGGAGGGAGGAAGAGAAGGAAAGAAGGAAGGAGAGACACATTTTACTGTTTAGATATGTATTATTCTGGTATTCAAGCACTACACAGATCATAGATAACATTTAAATACAGTTAAAAGTATTGTGTCTGTTTGTTTATAACCTTCAATTGGGTGAAATAGCGTATCACAGGGCAACAATTTTTGAGTCAACATGCCTTAAATAGTTTTAAATTTACAGAATGTTTCCAAAATCTGGATTTAACTCCTATGGGATTGAAGTCTGGCAAAGTTGCTTCAGTGTTGCAGCCTTGCTGTAGTGAGCCACAGTCTGGTGATTTTCATTTCCAGAATTCCCTCCCAAGCTTCCTATTAAGAAAGTCAGTAGAAAAGCCAGCAGGAAGCCAGAAGTCACTTCCTTTCTCCTTTTGCCCTTGATTATTCTGTTTCACTGAATAGGCCAAGGGTCTTCCAACCTAGCAAGTTTAAGACTTGTGGACTTCAACTCCTCGAATTCCTTGAGCTAACATGACTGGAGGAGGAATTCTGGGAGTTGAAGTCCCCAAGTCTTAAAGCTGCCAAGTTGGAAGACCCTTGAAATAGGCAATGAAATATCTCTGAAAGGATGACCCAAAAGGTAATAGCAATCGCCCTTAGACTTATATACCACTTCACGGTGCTTTACAGCCCTCTCTAAGCAGGGTACAGAGTCAGCCACTTGCCCCCAACAATCTGGCTCCTCATTTTACCCACCTCGGAAGGACGGAAGGCTGAGTCAACCTGGAGCCTGGTGAGAGTCGAACTGCCAAATTGCAGGCAGCTAGCAGTCAGCAGAAATAGTTTGCAGAACTGCACTCTAACCACTGCGCCACTGCAGCTCATGGGGTTATTCAGTGATTATTAAGTGTCTGTCTCTCTCTGTGTGTGTGTGTGTGTGTGTGTGTGTATGAATAAATGACTATGCACACCTACAAATATAAACAAGCAGCTCTAAGCTCTACCTGTGAAGAAGAAGAGAGAGAAAAAAATAGAGAGATGGAGAGTTCTTTTTACAACTGTTTCAGGTACAAAGAAGTCACCATGCCTGTCAACATCAGAGATGTGATGCAGCTCCTCTGCCATATTTCTGAAGAGCGAAAAATGAAAGCCGCCTTCAAGCACTCCGGACGAGGCGCCTTGGTGGTGGGAACAACGGCTTTCTTCGGAGGTTTGATGGCAGGCCCACCTGGCATTGCTGTCGGTAAATTAATGCTTTGGATATGCGCATAAGTGCCTCCAAGAGCTTTGGATCCACCAAGCGGTAGCTCTTAATGTGAGGCGGGGAGGGGGAGACAGCAATAGCAAAAAAAGCTTAGACTTATATACCGCTTTACAGTGCTTTTACAGCCCTCTCTAAGCGGTTTACAGAGTCAGCACATTGCCCCCAACAATCTGGGTCCTCATTTTACCCACCTCAGAAGGATGGAAGGTAGACTCAACCTTGAGCCAATGAGAATTGAACTGCTGGCAGTGGGCAGAGTTTGCCAGCAATAGCAATAGCACGAAGACTTATATATCGCTTCACAGTGCTTTACAGCCCTCTCTAAGCGGTTTACAGAGTCAGCCTATTGCCCCCAACAATCTGGGTCCTCATTTTAGCAACCTGAAGGATGGAAGGCTGAGTCAACCTTGAACCAGTCAGGATTGAACTCCAGAAAGTGGGCAGAATCAGCCTGCAATATTGCATTCTAAGGATTGTGCCACCAAGGAAGGAAGGAAGGAGGGAAAGGAAGGAAGGAAGGACTTATTATATACTGCTTCACAATGCTTTACAGCCTTATCTAAGCAGTTTATAGAGTCATCCTCTTGCCCCAACAATCTGGGTCCTCATTTTACCCACCTTGGAAGGCTGAGAGACAACCTTGAGCCTGGTGGGATTCAATCTGCCAAATTGCAGGCAACCAGCAGTCAGCAGAAGCAGCCTGGAGTACTGCATTCTAACCACTGTGCCACCACGGCTCTTACATATCTATAAATCACTACATAATAGGACAATGCATCTTAAAAATAGCACAGATCCCTCACCCGCATCCAAAACAACACCGCTCACCTTTACAAAATGGTCAAGTGATTCTATCATTCAGTGATGGCTTGCCAGTCAAAGTTGAAAGCTGGCTCACCTGTTCTGTTTTTCTAGGAGGTGCCATTGGTGGCTTGCTTGGGGCCTGGATGACCTCCGGACAGTTCAAGCCCATTCCTCAGATAATCCTGGAACTGCCACCTGCGGAGCAGCAGCGGCTTTATGAAAACGTCTGCGCCATTATTCAGAATCTGGATTGGACCGACGTAGCCCAGCTCACAGCCTTGGTCATGGCCAACGGTGCCCTTCAGGAGAAATTGCTTGGAGTCCTGACAAACTATATCACTACTGAACTCAGAGGGGAGATCCAGTATGGAAAGTAGACTCTGATGTTTGTGTTTCAGGGGTGTGTGAGTGCTCTTAATACCCTTTTCTCTGGTGTTTTAGATTTCTTAAGATTGCAGTTTTTATAAGGAATGACAAGGTGTCAACTGTGCATTTTTTTTCTTTTACCCCAAATAATCTTTTTGGGGGAAACAAACAAGGCAAACTTTGGTTTGCTCGTTCTGGTTTTTTCTTTTTCATAATTAGTCCCTATTTCAATAGCCAAGGGTGGATCAATTTGAGCCTCAATGTTTATTGTATTTATTTGAAAATCTGTTTATGCCACCCCAAAAATTCCTTGTGGTATTTTGGAGTGCCTTGCTGAGTAAGTACCTCTGTTTCATCAGACCTTCTAAGCAGCTGCCTCTGTGAGTGATGCCATCAAAGAACGTGCCACCATTGCGTCTTTGCACTGTGGTCAAGGATGTAATGGCATTTGCACTATAATGACATCGCCATTTGCTGCTCTTCGATGCGCATCATGCTAGATGAATGAGGATGATACACTGCACAGGTGTCAGCCTTTCCTGCCCAGTTACAAGGGTTGGATTTATGACCAATTATCCTACCCAAATATATTCTTTGGCTGGAGAGAGAGACAGGCTGATGTTTAACATATCTTCAGGATGCCAAGTTGGGGAAACCTAATGTAGATAACGGCACTGTGGTTGAAGTACGTGGTGTCCACTTGGCCACATTAGAATGATCGACGTCAAATGACTTGGAATTTCTTAGATGGGGAGGTTCACTTCTCCATGGGACATATTACTTCTCCCGCTGCCTTAATTTTGAGAGGGTGAAGGAGTGAAAAGTCGAAATAGTCCGGAGCCAAAAATGTAGCAGGTGATTCATCTTAGGTATTTCTCCTGAAGATAAAAATGCAAATAAAGCTGAATTTTTAATGTGTGAACATGCCAAGGTTGTATGACCGTTATTCCCCTTCCTTCAGAGATGCTAAAGTGGGTTTCCTGAACTCAAGTTGTCTTCAGTTGAGAACTTTCAATACGTGTAGACAACGAAGAAAGATCTGGGGGTAACAAAGAATATTAAAAGTCCAACATTCAGGTTTTACAGTTTGGGTTTTTCTTTAAACAAATGAAATTACGGGCAGTCCTCAACTTACAGTAGTTCATTTAGTGACCATTCAAAGGTTAAAAAGGCACTGTAAAAGTGACATGACCATTTTCACTTAATGACCATTGCAGCATCCCCCTGGTCACGTGATCAAAACTCAGATGCTTAGCAACTGACTCCTATTTTTGATGGCTGCAGTGTCCCAGGGTCATGGAATCAACTTTTGCGGCCTTCTGACAGCCATAGTCAATGGGGGAAGCCAGATTCACTTAACAGCTGTGGCAAGGAAGGTTGTAAGATGGGACAAAACTCGCTTAACAAACGATTCCCTCAGCCACAGAAACTTTGGGCTCCATTGTGGTGATTACATTCTCAATTTTTCTTAATTTAAGTGAAGGAACTGTTCTGACCAAGGTGTCCTGAGACTGGAAATTGCGTTCATTCCCAGCCCTTAATGAGTCCCAAACAGTCCCTCAAGATAAGCACCCACCTTTATACCTTATGGGAGGGACTTGGTGCTGGAAATTGCGTTCATTCCCAGCCCTTAATGAGTCCCAAACAGTCCCTCGAGATAAGCACCCACCTTTATACCTTATGGGAGGGACTTCAGTGCTGGGAATTGCGTTCATTCCCAGCCCTTATTGAGTCCCAAACAGTCCCTCGAGATAAGCACCCACCTTTATACCTTATGGGAGGGGCAATTATCTCCAAGCCTTACTCCCAAGTCGCTCCTTTTGTCTTAGCTGCTGTTGTCTTCTAGCAGCTCTTTGCACACGCACACTGGGAACAGGCTCTCCTGGATCCTCTGCCTTGCTGGTGCCAGGCTCTGGAGTCAGCACCCCACTCCCAGATGGTCCTGGCCTCATCTATGCATCAGATGCAGGACCCTCATCTGAGTCCTCTCCAGACTCTTGGACTGGCCTGTGTTCCTCCCCACTGTCCAACTCTGCTGCCGTCTCCGCAGGCTGCTGGTGGACCACAACACACTGTCTTAAATTAAGGACCATCATTAATTTTAAAAAGATTTAAAGAAAAAAAGTCAGTTACCTGTTATCTTTTCCCCCATCGTGAAATCACTTCTGCACATCTTTTAACGCCGTTGCTGAACGAATTCATTTTCGGTTTTGCAGAATGCATCCAAACCGCGTAAACCCAAAGAGTCTCAAAACTACACAAAAGGAAGCTGTTGTTCTTTCAGTCTTATTGCGATGTGCGGAGTGTTGCTAGCTGATCTGACTACTGATAAGTTGTACCTACACCTGCCTCCCTTCATCAGTAGCTTCAGCCTTTCAACTGAAGAGCCAATTTCTGATGTTTTTTATTTGGGTTTTTTTTTTTCTGCACAAGTCACATTTTCTAGCCAACAATCACCTGAGAACATTTTGGTTTGGTTTTGGGGGCCGATGCTCCTCTTAATTGTGCAGCTGTTTTTCTATGATTTGATCGAGTGTGAATAGAGGATGGATCCTCAATGCATTGGTCTTTGACACAGGAAAAGAGCCACGGGATGTGCCATCCTGTGGCCTTTTGACCCCTATGGTTTGCCACAAGGTGACACATAAAAAAGCAGCTGTGATGACTCCGGGCGTGGCACAAAGGCCGCACAGTTAATCGGTAGGAGTCCCTTTATTAGCTCCAACTTTGCTCCCAATGTCCAGGTTACCTTCTGACTGGAGAAAAACTCTCCCAAGAACAGCCTTTGACTGCAGACAATTAAGTCCAAAACATGGTCAACACAAACTGTAACTTAAAGTCCAAACAAGCCAAACTGAAGTAATTAGTTTGGCAGGGCAGGAGCAAGAATTTCAGACTTGAAGGCTCGGCAATAACTCAACACGGAAGATGCCAAGAACACAGATAAGCAAAGTCAACACAAGATAACGTCACGTTTGCTCCCAGCAGCTGCCTCACTCGGCATGCCTTTCTTTTAAACTCTCTTCCCAGCTGTGGCTAATGAAGGGAATCAGGGCCCTTTCCTCCCCGATAAGCCACACGTTGCTCTCTTCTCCGTTCCTCCTTGCGTGCCCTAGAATGAAGAGGGGGCGGGCCTGGGTCTTCCTCTGAACTCCCTCTCCCTTGTTCTATCTCTCCCCTGCTCTGCCCAGCTGGACTTTGCCCTTCCCCAGTTTCCTCCACAGCCAACAGAACCACCCTCCCAATTCCCTGTCAGCTGTTTGGCTTCCTCCTCAGATTCAGACTCTTGACAGGGGCAGGACAGCAGCATTGCAAAATACAAGACAGTTTGAATGGGTTTCCATTCCAAGTATCTTGCATTAAATAAGGAAATGCCTGATTTTGCAAAAGGGGTGCATGAGCCAAGTTTTATGCGTTTGTCCTCCATCATTCTCGTAAGATCCCAAAGGTAGCGCCCCCTCCCCCAAAAGCAAATGGACTTTTTGTTTTTTGTTTTGAAATGTTTCACTTCTCATCCAAGAATCTTCTTCAGTTCTGGGTGGGAGGTAAAGCAGTAAAAACCCATAAATATTGTTGAATTCATTGGTGTCGTGGATCCAATACTGTTGCAAATGGAACAGGATGTTCTGTTCCTCATTAAAATTTAATTGTTTTTTTTTTTTTTATGGACTGAATTGGGGAAAAAAACATATTTCGACATCAGAAAAAGGAAGGAGGGTCTGTTTTTCATTTTTCTTTAGGATTCTTGTCTTATGATTGGGAACACTTCCCTGCAGTTCAAGGAGGCAGTGGGTAAAGCAGGGTGACCATTATGGGATGGAAGAGCAAGATATTTGAAGGGTGTCTAGATGGAAAGGCTGCTATAGGGAATTGAATCATGCAAGGACCAGTTACGAAAAAATTATATACTTTTTTGCTCGCCTTCATTACCTGTGGACTTTATCTATCATCTATCTACGGTATCTATCTGTCCGTCCATCCATCCATCCATGTATCTATGCATCTATGTATGCATCTATCTATGTATCCTATTCCTCCTCCTCCTCCTCCTCCTCCTCCTCCTCCTCTTCCTCCAGTACTGCATACCAGAACAACTAGACAAAAGGACAGTTTTCCCCCGAATGCCATCACTCTGCTAAACAAATAATTCCCTCAACACTGTTCAACTATTTACAAAGTATACACTACTATTACTGTAATCTTCTCATCACTCCTTATCACCCATCTCCTCCCACTTGTGATTGTATGACTGTAACTTTGTTGCTTGTATCCGTACGATTTATATTGACTGTTTCCTAGTATGATTTGATTGTTGATTGTACCCTATGACTATCATTAAGTGTTGTACGTTATGATTCTTGATTCTTAATGAATGTACCTTTTCTTTATGTATACTGAGAGTACTTACACCAAGACAAATGCCTTGCGTGTCCAATCACACTTGCCAATAAAGCTATTCTATTCTATTCTATTCTATTCTATTCTATTCTATTCTATTCT